GAATGAAACAGGCCAATTCTCAGGGGCCCCTGAGTTTTCAGAAGGAGAAAGATTTCATCTGGTCATTTCAAACCCTCTGAGAGTGCCAACAGCTCAGGGTTCAGGCTTCATCTTAAGAGAAAGAAATAGAATCAAAGGGAAAAGGTCAAGGGCAAAAATAAAGCCATATGTGGGAGGGGAAGAAGACGTCAGTCCTAAACCCAGGGCTGCCAGAGGCCAAAATTTTGCAACCCTTCCTCCGTAAGAGGGATCCTTGCCAATTTTTCTTAGGTCTTGGTTAAGATGGCACCCTATACCTCCTTCCTTGTAACCCCAACTCCTCCCCACAACTCTCTTCCTCCTGAAGCTTAATTTCTTTCTGAATAGCATTCAGATGGGCTGGACTCTAATGATGTCCAGAATCCCATCAAAGTAGAAAGAGACACCTGGCTCTTCACAAATCCCCCCTGCAAAGGGTCACCTTCTTACATGAAAACAAAAAAGCAATTTGGAGAGCAATGTGGTAAATCCATGTTGCGGACTGGTTGCCACCAGATTTCCTCTTCTGAAAAGGTGAAAAACAGTACTCATCTCAAGTGGGAGAACATTTGAGATCGTGTGTATGCACTCAGTGCCATGCCCAGTTGCAGTCCCAGTAGTCAGTACCACAGCTGTTGTTAAAATTATTGGGACCAGTCCCTCTAACTTGGAGTGTCATCAATCAGTTGCTCTCTTTCCCTGTACCTGCTTCCCTGATAACCATACACAGGCTGTCCAGCCATCCTCAGTAGCACCACGGTTGTGGACCAAGCTACCCTTCTGAGATGGGCACCCCAGAAGGAAAGGCAAGGTTATGGTCATTCACTCATTGTTATTAATTAAATATTAGGCCCTTGTGAAGGCTGGGCAAATGTCACAAGATGCGGCCCAGGTCCTTGGCATTAGCTCTCTTGGGGCACTTGCCTCAAGGCACTGTCTTCAGAAGGTCCCTTTGGAATGAATGAAGGTGGAGCAGAGGAGGTGAAGGAAAATATCAAGAAAGGAAAGCATCCTTTGAGTAGAGTACAGAAGTCATTGGCCAGTTAAGAAAGGTTTTGGGTCCCCTCAGACTTCTTGTTCTGAGCCCTATCTCTTGCCTTTTCTCTGGAGCTTCATAAGGTAGACCCTGTTTCATGATGCTTGCCTTTTTCTCTAAAAACCTGCTCTAAGGCAATAGCCTTATATATTTGTTTATACTAACATGTAAATTGTTGTCGGGTCTTTATGCTTGTTTGTTTTTATAAGGGGAAAAGGATTCAGTGAAAGAAATGAATACATTCAAGTGAGTGGGGGAAGGAAGAGGCCCTTCCTAATGACTCAGAAAGCACACTACCTGCTCCATCCAGAAAGCCAGTGGCTGTGGCAGTGGGGACCAAGCCATTTGGGTTGAGTTGAACTGACCAAACAATTTCTGAGCTCTACGTTCTCTTGCTGGAAGTAGGAAAGTAGGCAGGAGCATGGTGGGGGTTGAGGAAGACAAGGGACAGTAGACAGAGCAGAGGTACACAAAGTAGGGAGGGATTATTCCCCCCAAAAGCACCTCTCTGGGAACGTTGCCAGGGAGGAGTGCAGAGCTCTGTTTCTTCAAAGCATCACTTTTGATGTAATGAAAAGTAAGGGGCTCTGGTGGCTCAGCTCTCTGGAGTACGCTCAGCCTCCTTCCTTGGCCCCTCCTGACTCGTGAGAACCCCACCCAGGTCGTGGCTGGTCTGTTTCTCGAGGAGCTCATCTCCTGAGCCAATGTAGCCAACTTGAATAACTGCCCAGGCCTCCCCATCTGCTTTGTAGCCTAGGACGAAAGCAAAATTATGGACCAGATCATGTTATTGGTGAGAAGTGGGAGGTTAGGGGGAGAATTCTCGTTACTCAGGAGGGTCAGGGCAGAGATGGTGAAAAGGACTGTCAGGGAGTCCCACTTGCCCTCCCCACGAGGTGGCTCCCCCCAGCAGTCCTCTTGGTTTAGGACAGCAGCACGACACAGTGTGAAGGGCTTGGCCTCCAGCTGCCCTAGGAAAGGGGCTCCAAAATAGAAGAAACAGAGACGAATCAGAGCCAGTCCTGGAACACAAACACCAGTATATTTGATGTGCACAAATGTGAAAAGGAAGAGACAGAGAGACTGATGGAGACAGAGCAGGCAATGGGCGCACAAACCAGTCACGTGTCCTGAGGGGCTGCAGTTGGGAGACAGTCCTACCCACTTTGAAGTGGGAGAGCTGGGACCTGTAGCTCCTCCGGGTCTGGGGAGGTCTCAGGGTGGAAGGTACCCTCACTGCCTTAGCCATAGCTTGGGGGCCGGGCATCTCTCCTCTCTCCATCCCCCATGATGACGTCTGCACGGCCCAGAGCTTCATAAATGCAGGTTCTCAGGAACTGACCCACTCAGCACTGCCTCCCCAAGGAGGAGACCCATGCAGAGAGTGAGGGACTAGGACAAGAGGATTTCATGGGCACTCCCTATATATTATTGCTGTAGATAAGCATAGGCCATTGTGACTTACTGGCAACAGAGGGGACAGGGCACAAGGGACCGGGTGCCTAGCAGACCTCAGAAGCGGTTCAACCATGCAGGGCAGCTCTAAGGCAATAGCCTTATATATGACAATCTGAAGTAACTCAGAAATGCTGCCATGTCCAGTGGAGAGAGACCCAGGACACCAGAGGGTCACAAAGAGTCAGCAGACTCTTCCTGACAGCACCCCCACTGCTTGGCAGAGCTGGGGTGCCCGGGCACTAAGGGATGAGGGCCCTGAAGATACCCAAGAAAGCAGAGTTGAAGTCTGGGCTACCCCGGGTGAATTCTGAACCTACCGACCCTGAGCTTAAGCCCTGGATTGTTGCCTCTCTTTGCTGGGGACTCTATGGCCTATGAGGGACAGCAAGAGCCATGAGGCACCTGGATGAAGCAGAAAAACAGCGCTCTGCACATACCAGGCGGGTTTACCGCAGGACCTCCTATCCCTGGGAATCTGTAGGGCCCAGAGAAAAGATGGTGCCAGGAAATGTCCATGGGGCAGCATCTGGAGTGGCCACACCTGATGGGCCATACAGGGGCTTGCTGTGGCTGAGAATCACTGAGACCCTGTGCCGGCAGACATCAAGAAACCAACCCCCGATTTGGTCATGGGAGGGGAGGTCAAAGGCGGATGGTGCGGTCTAGGGGCCCACCTGAGGGGCCTGAAAGGGTATTGGGAAATAATTCTGCAGACGGGACAGGGAATCCAGGTGATGCTTTTCTTCTGGAAACCCTTCCACCGGTAGTTGGAAACCTGAATCCCTGGGTGCTCCAGAGCTCTGGAATTGGGGCCACAGTAAAATCGAAGGTAGGTCTGGCCCCTGGAGAATGATCACCGCTGGATTTGAGGAGCCTGGCCAGGACACAGAGGCTGAGAGATGCCCTTCATCCTGTCCTGGACAGGGTCAACCGCACAAAACAACCCTATCAAAGGCAGAGTCTCCCAGCCTTTCTCCCAATCCTACCCAGTCCCCCAGCCCCCCAGCCCCGGCTCACACCCTGGCTGGGGCTGTACGCACAGTCTCGGTGGAGCAGCAGATCAAGGAAGAGGAGATTCTCTCCACAGGTGGTATTGTCATTTTTTAATGATCCGTAAAAAGGGAAAGGCTAATTTCTATCTAAGAGTCCTCATGTGGTCAAGACAAGACCATGTACCATGGCATAGGCTGCGTTCTGATGGGCCTCTCCCCTCAGGGAGTGGGGGCAGAGCCAGAAGTGGGCTGGAGTGAGGATTTCACCTGTCCACTGCCAGCAATGGACCCGTCACAGAGGAAGGGGGGCAACCAAGATGACAATGCCTGTGAGCATGGCAAGGTCAATACTGCTTAAGGGGTAAGCTCAAAGGGTTGGTCTTGCCTGGGAGGGGTGGGACGGGGTGGCCCTGAGGAGGTTTTGCTGCAGGGCTGGTGCCATGGCGGGACCAGCTGATCCCTTCCCACTAAGGATGCTCTGAAGACCCTCCCAAAGCGCAAAGGCTGTTTCCTTTTTCTCTCTCAGTCACCCTGCATGGGTCTCCAACCCTGGATGCCTGCTCCGCCATCCCCTAGAGAGCTCTATCAACTCTGACTTGAAAAGAGAAATGCCTTCTCCCCTACCCCCCAACTCCCCTAAACTGATTTGTCTCTAGGTCCCCATTGTGGATCTGGGGGGCGGGGTGCATCTTGGCCTGACTGTGTGTTGGGGAGGGCATCATTCCATTTCAGCTGGGCCTCTGTGGGGAGGGGGCGCTGCCACAGCCCATCAGACAGGTGGGGAGGTGTAAAAGGATGACTTCCCAGTCTTCAGGCAGCGGACACAATGGAAGGAAGGTCGCTCTCAGGGCTCTGTGTCTGGCAGCTGCTGTGCTGGCCAGGGAGTTGGGGAAGGGGGTGGGTGTGGTGACTGACATGGATAAAGGGGCCGCTAGTAGTAAAGGCCTAGAAAATAAGAGCGAAAAGGGGGAAACACCACCGAACACACAGGGATTGAAACCTCCAAGAGCCCAAGGTTGGTGGGAATCCAGCACCAGGGGGCCCCCAGAAGGCCAAGGGAGGGGTGGAGCCCTGGGGGAGGGGAGAGGAGCCAAGGGAAGGCCTCCAGCCCTTGCACACCGGCACTGCTGCTAAGCAGCCTCCTGGCCGCCCAGTCTCTTGTCAGGCCGCAGCTCAGCAGGCCCCCAGGGAGGTATTGGTTGCAAGCAAGCACCTGAATATTGCCAAATGGAACCAGCCAAAGCCCACCTAAACCAGGTGAGAGGGAGGAGGCCTGGCAGTAGCCCAACGCCTCCTCAGGCCTTGCCTCCCACCTTCTGCCCCGTTCTCAGAGCCCCTTAGCCAGGACAGGGCCTGCTGCTTCCAAAGTCACCCCGGGGGGGTTCCAGCCGCTGCTTAGCCACAGGCCTCCTGCCGCCAGCCTCTGAGCTGAGCGCAGAGACCCAGACCCTTCCCAGAGTCCCTCCGCTCCCTCCACACCAGCCCCTCACACCTCACCCGGCCCCCAGCGGAGGGTGCTGGAGGGAGGCCACTGTCGTGTGTGCCCTAGGGGGCTGAGGCAGGCCCCCAGCCAGGGCTTGTGCTGTTCAGAAGATGTAACCCCACCAGCTTGGTACCTCTGTCCCCCGCGTCCGTGAGAGCGCCCCGGGCCCCGCCCACCAGCCCCATTCAGTCCGTCTTGACGTGGCCGTTGGCCAGGGCCAGGGGGCCCCCGGGCTCCCCGGGCTCGGCGTCCTTGTCAAACCGGAGGCGGAGGGTGTTGCGGATGATGAACTGCTCCATGATGAGGGCCCCGCAGAACCAGGGCACGGCGTACTCCAGGGTGATGAGGCCCATGAAGTCAAAGTCGAACTGGGAATAGTCCCAGGGGCAGGCGTTGAACTGGCGCAGGATGAGGCCGGTGGTGAACTCCCACAGGTAGGTCCAGAGCGTGTAGATGAGGCAGCGCAGCAGCAGCGGGCAGCGGCCCCGCAGGCGCAGGTACATGCGCTCCACGATGAGGATGGACGTGCCGTAGATGAAGAGCGCCCACACGCTCGTGACCCCCGGGAACTTCCAGTTGAAGTTCACCACGAACTCCCAGGCGGCCGTGAACATCACCTCGCAGAAGTAGCCGTGGATGGCGTACAGGTACCAGCGGGACAGCGCGGTCAGCGGCTCGGCCGACGCCATGGCGCCCAGTGGGGCTGGCTGCTGCGACACAGAGGAGACAGGTGAGGGCGGGAGGGGGCCCCTCCTCCTGGCCACCCACGCCCAGCCCGAGTCTCCGCTGTGACCAGGCTCCAGGCGGTTCCACACCCGCTGCTACTGTTCTCTTTGGTTACCTTCCCACTCCGGACCCTACTTCCTGGTCGTTACTTTACGCCCTATTCCTGATCTTGGCCAGGTGGGCATGAGAAAGGAAGGCAAGAAACTTAAAATCCCACTGGCTTCCTCTGACCAACTCTACTCAAATGCTACTTGGAGGTGTCTCCTACACAACCTAGACTTTTTTTTTTTTTTTTTTAATTATCTGTGATCAGATGGAAGAACTGGCTGTCCTGACCCACCAGTCACCTCCATTTCTAGGCTACCAGCTGATTTCTCATCAGGCCCACCCACTGGGGTCACCATCTCCTCCTCCACTTCTCAAACAACTCCACCTCACTCATATTTCTGAGATCTTTCTAAGCAACCTATCACATATGTCCTTGGGTATGTGTGTGTGTGTTAACATATACTAACATTTACCATGTTAGCCATTTTTAAGTGTATAGTTCAGTGGCATTGAGTACCTTCCCACTATTGTGCAACTGTCTCCACTGTCCATCTCCAAAACTTCATCATCCCAAACTGAAATTCCGTACCCATGGAACACTAACTCCCCACCTCCTCCCCAGCCCCTGGCAACCACCCTTCTACCTTCTGTCTGTATGAATGTGACTACTCCAGTTACCTCTTTCAAGGGGAATCATATGGAACTTGTCCCTTCATGACTGGCTTATTTCACTGAGCATAGTGTCGGCAAGGTTCATCCACGTAGTAGCGTGTGTCAGAATATCCTTCACTTTTCAAAGCTGAATAATATTCATTCTTTGTGATCGATCGATCGATCACATTTGATTTATCCATCTGTCCATTAATGGTTTGTTTCTACCTTTTGGCTATTGTGAACATTGCTGCTATGAACATAGGTATACAAATATCTGTTCGAGTCTCTGATTTCCATTCTTTTGGATTTATATGCAGGAGAATTGCCAGATCACATGGTGATTCCATATTAATTTTCTGAGGAATACCCTTGCTGTTTTCCACGGCACCTGCACCATTTTACATTCCCGCCAGCAATGCACAAGGCTTCCAATTTCCCCACACCCTTGCCAGCACGTGTTATTTTCTGGTTTTTTGAGGACGGCCATCCTAATGGGTGTAAAGTGGCAGCTCGTTGTGGTCACATTTGTCTTTAACTGCTCCATTAAGCGGGTTTGGGTGTTTAGTTTCAATGTGGAGAGGAAACCAGTGGGCTGACAGAGGAGAGAATCTTCCTTTCTACTTCTTCCCTTTTCCTCCTCTCTTCTAGCCCCACTGGGCTTTAAGGCCCCAGACTGCTTCCCTGAAGGCTGGCCTCGCCCACAGGCCTCTCTAGTTTTCCTTGTCCTTTATCCAATGCTACCCCGTTTCCTGTTAGAAGGCATGGGCCCTCTCAATCCACCTTGCTAGCCCGAGTCCTCCCCGAAAGAGAAGTGCCTCTTTTGCACTCCTCTGTTCTGTTCACAGGTCTCTCTGGGGCAGACCCTCTCTACATGATGCAGGTTTATGGGGAGAGTTCAGGGCAGCGTCAGGAAGGGGAAGGCAGGGCATGAAAACACAAATTCCAGCTCTGCCAGCGGCCCATGGACCCCAGGCTTGACCCTTCTGTCAAGGTGGGTGAGGGGACAGAGGTGAACAGGCTGCACCTGCCGTTGCCTCCCTGTCTGGGAATCGCAGCCTCGCCTTCCGGCTAACGCAGGCCTCGTCACAAGATTACCCGCCCTGTTGTATCGCTTTGAGCCCTTCCAGACCCTTCCGTTCCCATTTTTTGTCACTGGTAATTACAAAATTAAGATTCATGCGAAGAAAGGCAGGTAGTTTCACTCCCATTTTTTCCGAGACACAGTCGGGGCTCAGAGAAAAGTGGGTTTGCCCCATACCCCAGGGCCTGTGAATGGATAGGCCGAGACCAGAACCCATATTTCCCGATTTCTACTTCAGCACTCATCCCACTGCACACTACTGCCCAGCTCCTAGACATGACTGCCTAGTGCAGTTCCCCTCCTCAAAAGCATTCAGTTCCCACCCACCCCCCACCCTCCATCCCTGGTCCTAATGAAACGCCACAGCTTCCTTGGCCTGATATTCAAGACTCTCTAGGATCTCACTCCAGCCACTTTTTCAGCCTTCTTCTCACTGGCTGGCTCTCCTGGTTTTCCCTCCTGCCTCTGCAGATCCTGTCTGTATGTTTCTTGTGCCTTTCCTCTCACCGTCCACAAGTACAAATCCAGCTTCCACATGACCTTCAGAATAAAATCATCTTCATCCCCACAGCCCTCTCTTCCTCCCCTGAATTGCCAGAGCACTTCCTCTGTCTCACTTTGGTCCAGATGACTTCCCGTTTTATTATGGTGATAACTCCCAGTCCCCATCTAGACATCTCTCCTGTGTCCTACACCTACATATCCCACTCCTACCTCAACCCCTCCACCTAAGCGTCCTATAGACACCTCAAACTCAGTATCTTTTCCCTAAAGCTCATCTTCCTTCTGTGACCTCACCCTGCACCCAGTTGGCAGCAGGAGGCCCTGAGTTCATTCTAGCTTCCTCTGCTGCATCCCCCCACCAACATGAGCTCCCTGAGAATAAGGACCTTGTCTGTCTGGTTCAGTGCTGCATTACCCAGTGCCTAGAACAGTGCCTGGCACACAGCATTCAACTAAAGAAGACATTTCTTAATCAGTTCATGCTTCATAACAAAGCATTCTAAAACTCAGTGACGTAAATCAGCTCTCATTTATTATTACAGCTTGTGTGTGGGTTGGCAGATCTTGGCTGGCCTTGATCATGAAATGGCTGCTTGTCTGGGGCTCTGTCCTATTCTCGGCTGGGTGGCTCTGGTCTACCTGTCTCTCGTCCCCATCATGCTTTCTCATGCAGGGGCAGAGGCACATGGACAAGCAGACCCTCCTGCACCACACTTTTCAAGACTCTGCTTACGTCATGCCCAGGAACATCTTACTGGCCAAAGCAAGTCACATGGCAGAGCCACCAAGTCGGCCATTACCTCCTGTCCTTTCTACCACTTAACTATGTTTGAAATCATCTCTTCCCCTTGACCATCCTTTCTCATTGCTGTTGCTCTGCTCCAAGCTGTCACCGCCATTCACCTGGATGCCCTCAGTCATCTGCCAGCTGGTCTCCCCGCTTGCCTTTTCCTTTCCAATTCACTCACCCAGCTAGGAAAGTGCGTATAGAAACAACGGTCTTTCTAAAACACAAATCCAATGCTTCTCCCCACATAAGGCCAACTAGTGTGTCCTTACCATCCACATGGGAAGGCTTGAACCCCTAGGGATGGCTGGCAAAGCCCTTCGTGAGATACCGTGGCCTCAGATCTTGTCCTCTGGATCTCTTCATGACTGCTCTTGCTACCTGGGGTGCCCTTCCCAACTGCTACTGCCGCCACCACCCCTAACCCATGGCTCATGACCCATAATCCTCCTCAGCTGCCCTGTTTGTCCACCTCTGCATCCAGTTCACTTCTGTGACAACAGTTTGCACTATGCTTTGCACTAGTGGCCGCTTGGTGACTGATTAATATAATGGTGAGAGAGAAAAAAAGGCAGGATTCAAAACTGAGTAATTAATATGATTTTGATTTTGCAAAAGCATACATACACACAAATGTACAAAAAAGGGGCACCTGGGTGGCTTAGTGGGTTAAGCCTCTGCCTTCAGCTCAGGTCATGATCTCAGGGTCCTGGGATCAAGCCCCGCATTGGGCTTTCTGCTCAGCAGAGAGCCTGCTTCTCCCCTCTCTCTCTGCCTGCTTCTCTGCTTACTTGTGATCTCTGTCAAATAAATAAAATCTTGGAAAAAAAAAACAAATGTACAAAAAAATTAGCCATAATCATCTCTGGAAGGTGACATCACAAGTGATTTTTGTTTCCTTGTTTAAACTTCTCTGTATAACCTAAAATGTTTTTCTAACAAGTATGTCTAAGCTTGCATTTAAAAATTTTATCTTAAAAACATTTGCTGTAGCACTATGCATGAGTCATTTTTGTGCCTTGTATACAGAAGATGCTCAACAAATTCGCCACAAATCTAAGGAAACCTGATGTCCCATACAGTTCATACAGGTCCTTCCCTCCTGAACCATCACCAACCACAAACCATGATTCTCGGGTTTGAATAGCATGAAATGGTTAAGCCCAGGGGCTGCGGATCCAAACTTCCTGGCCTCCCCACCTTGCCTTTTCCTTTCCAGTTTCCTTGTACCCTTCCCCTATGGGATGTGGGGCATGTTACCTGACTTTTCTGTGCCTCGGTTTTCCTACAGGTGAAGTGAGAATAATAAGGGTAACTACTTCTGGGGGTTACTGTAAGGGTGACTGAGGGGACAGACACTACTAAGATGACAGCAAATGATCAGAGAGGGTGGCTCCATTTCTGGCACAGAGCCAGGCTTCCTGGTCAGCTTCTGCTTCCAGCACGCCCTCCTCCCTGAGGCAGGGTCATTCTGCCCCTGCTCTCGCTCGTGGTTGGGCAGCCTTCCTTACCGGGCAAGTCAGGTCTTCACGTCCATCCAGAGCACAACCCAGGAGCCAAGCAACCCTCCTTAACTAATAACCGCATGTAGAGACCAGAGGAGAACAAAGACGGAGCTGAGGAGAGGCAAGGCGAGCTTCCAGCTTTTGTGTAGCTCGGGAGGTTTCATGAAGGGCGAGGGGTCTCAGAACTAGCCCTCTGAAGTGTAGAACGAAAGGGCCAGTGTTCCTGGCAGAGCTTCCCACACCCTTCTTTTATCCTGAAACCCCAATAGGTTGTTAGCCCCCCACAGAGTGGGAGAGAACAGACCCAGGCTGAGAATGAGGAGGTGCCCATGACCAAAGGTGGTGGAGGGTGCTGCGGTGGCCCGGAGACCACTCTGCCTCCCGCCCAACTCTGGCTCCTCTGAA